AGAAGCTAAAAAAAAAACCCCAGAAACCAGTTTTCAGCCTGCCGGGATCTCAGAGCTGAAGTTATACATTGTTTCGAATATAGAACGGCAAACAAACCAGATACGAAGCCTCAGAGCTAGAGCCAGAGCTAAAGCTGGCCCAGAATAAAATAAAAAAAAGAGAAAAAAAAGGAGCGGTTGGGAGCTCCAGTCAACAACCGCCAGCCTGAAAGAAGCCCTCAGCCCCTCATCCAGGCTGGCCAGGCACCCCAGTGGGGACCCCCACCCTGATCTAGGACACCCTTCAGGGCAAACCAGCCGGCCCCCAGGCCTCTATCCTATATAGTAAAAGGGTAATATGCCTCCCAGCACCGGGATTAGTGGAGCCGCAAGGCCTCCTGGCACCAGATCAGCGTGACAGGGGGCAGCGCCCAAACCTCCTGATTGCCTTGCAGCTCTGTGTGTGACAGGGGGCGGGGCCACAACCTCCCTATCCACCCTGCTCTGTGTGTGACAGGGTGCGGCGCCCCAACCCCATCCCCCCCATGGGCCCTGCTCTGTGTGTGACGGGGTAGAGCCATAACCTCCCCATCGGCCCTGCCCTGAGTGTGACAGTGGTGGCACCCCAAGCCCCTGATCAGCCCTGCTCTGTGGGTGATAGAGGGCGGTGCCCCAACCCCCTGATCCGCCCTGCTCTGTGTGTGACAGGGTAGAGCCATAACCTCCCCATTGGCCCTGCCCTGAGTGTGACAGGTGCGGTGCCCTAACTCCCCTATTTGCCCTGCTCTGTGCGTGACAGGGGTGGCGCTGCAACCTCCCCATCGACCCTGCCTTGAGTGTGACAGGGGGCGGTGCCCCAACCCCCATATCGGCCCCACCCTGAGCGTGACTGAGGGTGGCATCGCAACCTCCCAATCTGCCCTGCTCTGTGCATGACAGGGGGTGGCGCCCCAACTCCCCAATCAGCCCTGCTCTGAGCCCGACCAGGGGTTGCACCTAGGGATTGGGCCTGCCCTCTACCACCCAGGAGCAGGCCTAAGCCAGCAGGTAGTTATCTCCTGAGGGGTCCCAGACTGCAAGAGGGCACAGGCCGGGCTGAGGGACCCCTCCCCCCCCCGAGTGCACAAATTTTTGTGCATCAGGCCTCTAGTCATACAACATATGCCTGAATGAAGCTTATCTCACACATATTTTTCTCCACAAGTCACATCACAGCCTCCCTCATTTAGAAATATTATAAGTGGGTACCAATTTCAACAGTGAAATCATCAACAGAAAGAACAAAACTGTTTTACGTGTGGCACTACATAGACTATGAAAACTACACATTTATAGTATCAGAGCTGATACAAGAAAGCAGAGTCTTGCCTTTGTTGGACCTCAGATTAGAAGTGGCCAGTAAGCAATTCAGATTGTTCTCTTTTCTGTGCATGTTTGAGAATGACCACTGAGTTCTTACCAGTACTGATTTTGGGTTGCAAATAAGTGTTTGCAAGTAGGTGAGTTCTCAAATGTGGAATCTGTGAATAACGAAGAATGACAGAACAAATGCGCGCACACACACACATAAACATACAGAATCTCAAGAGTGTGTGTGTGTGTGTGTGTGTGTGTGTGTGTGTGTGTGTTTACCACTCAACATAAGCAACAATGACAGGAATAGTAGGAAGCCAGTGGGGCTGAGGAAATAGTGAGGAGACAGTGGGAAGAGATGATGATGGCAGGGAGAGACAAAGCAGGACATGTAGAGCCTTGTGGGTCACAAGCAGGTCTTTGACTTTTGTTTTGAGTATGCTGGCAGCAGAGGTTATCCTCTGGCCACTATTGGGGGAACAGCCTGTGTGTGTGTGTGGGGGGGGAGTGGAGTGGAGCTGAAAGGTCAGGGAAGAAGTGACTGAACTGATCACAGTAGAAGACATTGGGGCTGGTCCAGGGTAAGGCCATGGAGGAGGTGAAAAGTGGGTGGATTTTGAAAGTAGAACCCTGCGGGTTTGCTGATACTGGAGTTTTTGGGGAAGTAGAGAGCAACAGAGATAGGGAGAGATACAGATGACTCTAGGATTTTGACTTGAGCACCTGGGCTACTAGAAAAAACACTGAGGCCCACAGAAGCAGAGGAAGATGCCCAGGTTCCAGATGGGTCCACAGTGGCTTCATCCTCAGCCAAGGCCTGGCCCTGATGTGAGAGCTCTGGTGGTGTGGATATCACAAGGGGCAGAGCCTGCTCAAAACCAGGCACCTTCACTCCTTGCCTCCCAAGGCCACATCCCAGCACTTCACCTCTGGCTCTATTCTCTTCCTTTTAGTCTTGTTTCCAGAAGTACTGCTCCCTGGAGACTCAGACCATGTGCTTCTGATTCCTTTGTCCTGAAAATATATGCCATGAGCACCCATGAAAGGCTTATGTGGAAGAGGCTGGAAGCAGGGGTGGGAATGGGGCACATTCCTCCCTGGGGGGAGGTTAGGGCTGTGTCTAGAAGCCCAGCAGCATCTCCAGGGCAACCAAGAGAGGAGAGGCATCCTCTCAGGCCAGGCCAGATGGGCAGCTTCCCAGGGCAGCCTTCCTTTGGGGCCCTCTGGTGCCTACCCCCAGCCATGATTCCAGCTGCTCTGACCCTCATCTCCCAGTTCTTCCCACACATTTAACTCCTAGGAGTCATGATTGTAGCATTTGGTTTTCCTCACTCTCTCCTTCCTACACAGCTCTGCCACTCCCCGGGACCTCCTTCCCAGTGGCCACATGATCCTGGATACCCAGGGAGTCTCAAATAGCCCCAGCAGGCCCTGTGTGCGACCAGAGCCTTTCCTGGCAATTTTCCTGCCCTCCTTCCCACCATCTGGGCATCTCTGGGCCCCTCCTGTCTCTCCATGTCAAAGGCTTCAGAGGGGTCGTCTTAACTCATTTGTCCTTCCAGTGAGCACTGACACCTGCTCTAGTTACTGCTTTTCTAGGTTATGAGTCTAGACCAGCCATGAGCAAACTACGGCCTGTGGGCCGGATCTGGCCCGTTTGAAATGAATAAAACTAAAAAAAAAAAAAGACCGTACCCTTTTATGTAATGATGTTTACTTTGAATTTATATTAGTTCACACAATCACTCCATCCATGCTTTTGTTCCGGCCCTCCGGTCCAGTTTAAGAACCCATTGTGGCCCTCCAGTCAAAAAGTTTGCCCACCCCTGGTCTAGACAGAGACCAATACTTGGAAGCAAGTGCTTTTAGAGGCCTTTTTGGACCTTAATAAATCAGCCCATCCATCTCCCGATGGTCGATGAAGAAGGAACTTGTGTTCGTGTTCCTGTTACAAGATAGGGAGACTGGAGCAAAGAACCCAGAGAAGCCATACCTCATTCCTGACCCACAAAAACTGTGAGATCATAACTATTTGCTGTTATTTTAGGCCCTTATGTTTGGGGCAATTTGTTGCACAGCAATAAATCACTAACACAACATATTTGGCCAGAGATTAAGAGGTGAATCAGGAATTATAGTGTTTGCCCAGTTGAAACAAAGTTGTAATAGATGGCTGCTTTGGGCTGGTTTCCCTGAACTGCAGAGTCTGAGATAAGGATTGAGTGTGGGTAATTATTAGCAGTGGATCTTGCAAAGCATGAGAAGAGAAGAAGGGAGATGAGATAGGGAGGTGTAGGCAGCAAATCATGAGAGTTTGAATGAACAATTTCCGCAGTGTGCATGGGGACCAGTCCTTCCAGGGATCTTTGAGAGAGTATAGAACATACGTTTGAGGAGTGAGGGAGCTGGGGTATTGATTTACTAAAAGTGGTGGAGGGTCATTCCCAGGGATGCTAACTTCCTATCAATTCTGACCTGGGGCCACATGGGCCACAGAAATCCCCAGGCAGAGCATCTCAGGTGTTCACCAGAGCAGGGATTACAGTGAGATGAATGGGGCACAAAGATTGATTGTTCCCTTGGCCTCTGTTCTAAAATGTCTCGACACATTGCTGTGACAGATCCTGTCTTAATTTAACAGTTTCCTATTTAAATCATCATGAAT